AAAACGAACCCTTAAATATGTATTTTAATGTTTTTTTTCTTTCATGCATGTGTTTCTAACGCATTTATAAGATTATTTCTTTGTTGCTTTGTATATCCCCCCTCCCACAGTGTAACCCCCGCTTTCACTATATTTGATGTCAGTATAACTTGTGGAGGAGATGGGGACAAACAAGTCGTTTAAGGATTCAGGTGGACCTGTTGCAACAATGAGAAGTACAAAATGTCATGTCAAAAACGAGCTTTACAATGTCGGTGTGGGGGGGAAGGGGGGGCAGGATTGGGTGGGGGGGAGGGGGGAGGCTGGGAAGGGAGGTGAAGGGTAAACAAAGGAGGAGGCTGCAATGCTTGGTAAGAAATATATGCATTATCCTGCCCATGTAATTGTAACCCCTCTGTACAGTATGTTCTCAAATAAAATAAAATTAAATTAAAAAAAAAATCTTAACTGAGAAAGGCAAACCAACTTGCAAATATTTCGTTTTCCTGCTTGCTAGCATCATATGAGAGATAAGCCAAGAGAAAGTTTGGATCATCTGTATTATGGCTAACTCGGTTCAACAGAATAGCCACAAAAGTACTATTCTCATACTATTGTACTGTCATACCCTGATAATATCGTACTATTATCACTATGATCATGGTATGGGAAGATGCATATGAGGAGGAAAATACAATATGATTGATATTTCAGAAGCCTCCAAGATCTGAATCTGTTTCCCCCCTCAGGACTTGCCAAGGTGAACTGAACAGGTCGCAACCCAGAGCCCTTGGGGTAAATGCAGACTGTGGTAAATAGTCCCATGCTAGTGATCTCAATTTGGGTGTCAATCAGACCCCAGGAGCTCTACAGGAGAAGGTAAGTGTATGCACATGTGCACACACTGGCAAAAAGCAAGAGGAAGGAGATTCTGTAAATCTAATTAGACATCAGGAGTTGTCCTGAACAAAGGTGGTTGGGAATGTGAGTTTACAAGGATAATTACCACTCATTACACAGAACACAGTAACTTTCTTGTTAGCACAAGAATTTGTCAGACATGTGTCACACGGCAAGTGGAACAGCTGTAACTGTAAGTGACAGGTTGCTGAAAAAATAGCTAGTTTGCTAAGCACCCAGTCCCTGGGTCTGTAGCATAATCTTGTTTCTTAAATTAAAATGACAACAACAACAAGCAAGCATACAAAAAGTTTCCACAGCAAAAACTGCCGGCTGCTAAAGTTTGCCAGGAGAATTTTCCATGTGTCAGGAATAAGCATGAAAATCTGCATTGTAAGCCCACATCATCATACCCTAACATCTGCATCAAAGGAACATGGCCCAAGTCTGAACCCTCTCTCTCTCCTGCTTCCCAGTCCCACATTCTTGAGAAAGTGAGTTAACTTCTCCAAGCCTTTGATTCCTTAGAAAATAAAGATAATATTCTCTAACACAAACATTCCTTGGAAGCAGCAGAAATCGTGTGCAATGCATTTAACACAATGTCTCCCAGGTAACAAGTGTGCAGGAAACAAGTGTTGAAGATCTGTTTGACTAAACATCACACACGACTACACAATGCAGAAGAGACTGTGCATTAGACTTCTTTTTTCAATATAAAGAAATGGAAATAGCACTTCACTCTGAGAAGAAGGGAAAAGAAAAGTGGTAATAATTGCATGTTTCCCCTGGATACCCAGGAAATTGTGCTCTCCATGGAAGAGTGGTTTGGAGAAAGGGGGAAAAATTGCTTATCATTATTATATGCCACCAGCGCTATTTTCTTGTTCTTCTCAGTAAGAAGTTACAAAGAAACCTAGCATCTGAAAGCCCTTGGGGAGCCAGTGGAATGGGGCCCATTTTCTAACTGACCACTCTTAGTAAATGCTCTCTAATGGATACAATGAGATGTTCAACTCACAAAGCCTCCCATCTCCCTCTCTGCCTCCTCGGAAATTTTGTCCTATGCCTGGTGTATCTGGTTGACTACTGAATATTCCCAGGCTTGGAAAAAATGCTGCCAACAGTCTGAGGGCGGTGCATGCTTATGTGTGAGACCTGAAGTTCCATCCCCAGGGCCACAAAACACAAACAAAAAGCTGCAAGCCCTGACTAGAAACAGGTGCAGTTAAGGCTATAACCCTTCTAGAAGAGCAAAGGTCTTAAATTCTTGTTTGACGTGAGAAAGCACCTCAAGTTCTAATTAAACAGGAACAATTAGCCACCCACAGATCCTTAACGCTGCATCCCGCGGCCAGCAATCATCTCTATTAAAACCCAGTTTAAAAGAAGGAGCAAACCTAAAAGCCCCCATAGGCACACAGTTCCTACAAAACCCCTTTGCATACTTTCTGTAAAGACTCAGGCAAACTGACGGCAGAGAAGGCTTTTTACCAAAAGACTGCATCAGACATGATAAAGTCATTGTAAGAAAGGAAGAAGTACGCAGCAAATGCAACCACCTGAGGTAACAAAATCCACTCCAAGAGGGATGTGGATTTCTGGGCAGCTGGACAAAGTAAGTCCAGCTGAAGCTTCAAGTTTCACCGGGTTGATAGGATAATTAATTCATAAACTCTGCCATGAAGAAGCACCTCAAGCAAAATCCATTTAAGCCTGTAGTAACTGGAATTCTGAGCATCCTCCCGTGTAACTAGACCACTGGACAGACCAAAGCATCTCCGGAACATCTTCTCCCTGGCCCAATCTGTCTCTCAAGTACTGGCAAATCACACTTGGCAGTTTCACAATAAGTTCAATCCACTCAAGCTTATTGACTTTCTCTAGCCTGGTTAGGTCCCCTCCAACTTAAGGCCTCCTTAATGAAAGGGACTTGTTGTTGTGTGTGGCCAGAGATGGTTTCCAGACTCCACAACAGCAACTGCTAACACAGTGGTCAGTAGGGAAAATGACTCAGATTTAAACACCTGCCTTGAGAACGAGGGTTATTTTCCAACCCAGCCAAGTGACTCCATTCATCCAGTCCTTCTCAATCAAACAAGAGCCTTTCTTCCCAATGCGTGCTTGTGTGTTGGAAATTTTCTCAGCTATCAAGCAGACATGAAAAGTGATGATCTATCTCTTTGTTGCTTTGTATGTCCCTCCCCCACAGTATAACCCCTGCTTTCACTATATTTGATGTCAGTATAACTTGTGGAGGAGATGGGGAAAAACCAGTTGTTTAAGGATACAGGTGGACCTGTTGCAACAATGAGAAGTACAAGTTGACATGTCCAAAACGAGCTTTACAACGTCGGGGGGGGGGGGGGGAGGGAGGGGAAGGAGAAGGATTGGGATTGGGGGGGAGGGGGGAGGCTGGGAAGGGATGTGAAGGGTAAACCAAAGGAGGAGGCTGCAATGCTTGCTAAGAAATGTACGCATTATCCTGCCCATGTAATTGTAACCCCTCTGTACAGTATGTTCAAAATAAAATTAAATTAAATTAAAAAAAAGATGCATTATGTACATAATTTTCTTTGTTAAATGGCAAAAATCAAATAAAACCTACAAAATTAAGAAAAGTGAAGGAAGGGATAGTGTGAAGAGGTGGTTGAGAATGTTAACTTTATTTTATTTTATTTTGTTCGTGGGCCTGAACTCTGGGCCTAGGCGCTGTCCCTGAGCTCTTCATCTCCAGGCTAGAAATCTATCACTTGAGCCACAGCACCACGTTGGCTTTTTCTGTTTTTGTGGTGCTTGGTAATCAAACCCAGGGCTTCACGTATGCAAGGCAAGCCACCTTCCGAGATCCAAGGGTGCGAATGTTAAAAGGGTTTACACTGATTTTCTTTTCATAAGACAATGTATTCATAAATTGCTCTGTGAATTGCAACTCCTTTGGACAACTACCTGAAAATAAATAAAAATATATATTTAAAAATAAAAAAAAAGTGATGATCTAGACTAGAATGGTCCAAGGGAAATATGATTCCATTTTTCCTAGATGCCACATTTTTTCCCCTCCCCTGATCCTAGAGCTCAAATTCTGGGCCTAGATAAAGTCCCTGAGCTCAATGTTGCTCAAAGATAGCACCCCGCCTCTTGAGCCACAGCACCACTTCTAGCTTTTTCTGTGATTAATTGCAGGTACGAGTCTCATGGACTTTCCTTCCCTGGGCTGGCTTTGAACAGCAATCCTCAGATCTTAGCCTCCTGCATAGCTTGGATTACAGCCATGTAATCCTAGAAGCCCAGCTAGAAGCCACATTTAATAGGAAAAACAATTGATTGTAATAGAATATTTCATTTAACCTAGCATATCAAGAAGATGATCATTTCAATAGAATATGAAAGTTAATTGATGAGATTCTTTGCATATTTTTGTCATGAATTCTCTTCCCCTAGCAGGTAGGACCATGAAGATCTAGAGAGCTGGGTTTCAATTAACATGGAGCCAAACCTAAGTCAATAGTACTGGAATGGTATTAGGAACTTGCCTAGAGAACATTTCAAGTACATAGCCAAGGTAAGAAAAGGGACAACAAAGTGAGAGGCTAAACAGACTCATTTGTTTCACTGTAGAAATTGGTACACTGTGTAAACCAAAGTATCACAAGTTATACCTTTGATTAAAAAGAAGCAAATTACCTGACTTAAGTAACTGTAACCCCTCTGTACCTCACCTTTATAATAACAATAAAAAAAGAAAAAAGAAACTGATATGGAAAAGAGCTGCAATTCACTATTCTAGGTATACTTTACTAACTTGCATGGATAACACAATCTTATTTTAAATTTATCACAATCAGAGAGACATACAAAATAGATGTTAAATCACCAAAAAGTAACAGCTGTCTCTAAGAGACAGAATTACAGACAGCCTATACTCTTTTGCTTCCTACATGTGTTTTTCAACATTGAGTTATTGGGAAAACGGGAAAGCTAGTCTTGAGGAACAAAATACATTTGTTGTTTTAAGTCCTTATACCTTGGGTCCCTGCTGACACAGCACACTTTACCCTATTTGAAGCTTTGATGTAACCAAAAGGCATGCTCCACCACCCCAGCACAGCCATACTTACAACCAATCATCATGATGGCCACTGCAAAGATCTTCTCGATGTCTGTGGATGGGGCGATGTTCCCAAAGCCCACACTGGTGAGGCTGGTCATGGTGAAATACAAAGAGGAGATGTAGACAGAGTTCTTACTGGGGCCACCTTCCCATTTCCCTGAACCAGACCCATTAAACTGGTAAGGAGTGCCAATGTCCATTGCCAATTGGTAGAGCCAACTGTTGTTGCGGATCGTCTTGGTGTCCTCATCAAAGATCTCATAGTCCCCAATGCTGTACCAGATGCAGGCCATCCAGTGTGCAGCCAGCCCAAACACACACACCAGCAGGACCAGCACAGCAGCTCCATATTCAATGTAATGGTCCAGCTTACGAGCCACTCTCCCAAGACGGAGCAGCCGGACAACTTTCAGAGAGCTGAACAAGCTGCTGATGCCCTGGGAGAAGAGGAACAAAACATCAGAGCCGTAGAACAAAAGTTAGGACTCCTTCCCCTCCCCCACCCGTGCAGCTGTGTGTAAGCATAGTATATACCCGTTAGAGGCAATAATATGCAACCCTTAAAAATTAAAATTGGAATTCTACTCCAAGATGCATGGAATACAGATAGCTGTTAGCATTTTCCTTCTTCAAAACAAATAAGCAGACATATAAAACTAGTTAGAATGAGAAAACAAATACATATGATCATCTTTCCATAGCATTACTTATTTTAAGGGTTGAAAATATTTCATATTATTGAACATGAAATATTTTAAAGTTGCATTCATATTTCTTTCATATTGCACAGTATTATATAATGGCATTCCATTGTGCATACACATACAAACTGTTAGTGAATGGGCAAGAAACACAAAAGCATTCACAATGTCTGTGGCTACATTGTCAAGTTATGGAATTACAGGCAATTTTTGTTATATTTGTGTATATATTGTTACACATGTATGTATTTACTTAATTCCTATAATTATGATTGTCACTGTTACAATTAGAAAGAAGATGTTTAAAAACAAACAGATGTAAAATTTATAATGAACTAAAGAACTAGCTGAGAAAAATTGAGATTGTGTTCTCTTAGGGAAATTACAAATACTTGCAAAACTATACCACTTAGGTCAGGCTACAGCATGTGAATCAGACATCATTTACTTAAACACATCAACTGAGGAAAGCAAGTGCTAGAAGGAGCTTCATGGCTTCACCTGGTCATGGCTCTTCCCTTTCCAGCTGGCACTCATCAATCAAACCAGGTCGGATCTATTCTCCACTTAATAGTTTTCTATTAAATTAAGGTGTTAGAAATAACTCCAGAATAGAAATTCAAGAAATTGAGCTGAGGCCCACATGTGGATGCTTCTGTTACTTCTGGCTCCCCTTGTCTAGACGATGAAGAAGGTAGACTAAATGATCTCTCAGAGTTCTCTACTCAACAGCCTCTCATCTCCAAGCAGATTTGAAATAAATTACAGAAGCCATAGCATGTAAAACCCCCAGCCATCCAAGATGGGAGGTTCCCAGATCAATTCAAGAGGAACTGCTTTATTTCTTTCCTACTTCCATTAAGAGCAAATAAACAAGAAAACACATAAAACAGAGACATTTCTTTGAAGCAAGATGCTGTCCACTGTTTACAAGCAAAACAAACAAACACAAAAACCACCTCAGAAGGATTCTGTCCTCTGTTCTCAATACAATACAGTGTCTATGTCACCACTGTCTTCTTAATAACACCTCCTGCCATCCAGCCAGGGTCAAACGTTATCACAGTCAGGGGGAATGGGAATAAATGTTTTCTGATGCATCTTTGCAAGAGACTCACCATGAGCACATTTCCACGAGCTAAACTACATTTACCATCTTCCTTCCTCCATCTAGGTGGGGCCTGGGGCTAGTTCCTAACAATGGAACGTGGCATCCCTTCCAGTCAAAGCATGATTTCCAGATAAGGCTCCTGTGACTTGAGACTACTATGGAAGATGGTGGACCTACAACTTTGAAGTAGGCTGTGTCCCAGAAGGACCCTATAGAACCTTCCTCTCAAATCAACTTAAATTATAACATGATGTGAATAAGGAAAAAGTCTGAAATTAGCACTGAAACTTAACAGTCACCTTCTCTGCCAAATACGGAGCCCTTCTGTTATGTGAACACATAGAGCTCAGGCAGCACAATTCTGTCAGTGCAGACCACATATCAGGCTTTGCTGAGCTGACCGTTTCTGTTGGGGTTTTTGTTGTTTTTTGTGCCAGTCCCAGAGCTTGAACTCAAGGCCTGGGCATTGTCTCAGGCTAGTATTCTACCACTTGAGCCACAGCTCTACTTCCAGCTTTTGCTGGTTAATTGAAGATAATCTCATGGAGGGGCTGGGAAGGTGGTTCAGTGGTAGAGTGTTTGCATGAGGCCCTGGGTTTGATTCCTCAGTACCACATAAGCAGAAAAGGTTAGAAGTGGAGCTGTGGCTCAAGTGGTAGAGCATTAGCCTTGAGCAGAAGAGCTCAGGGACAGCGCCCAGGTCCAGAGTTCAGGCCCCACTACTAACAAAAAAAAAAAAAAAAGAATCTCTTGGAGATAAGAATACAAAGATTTTCCTGCCCAGGCTAACTTCCAACTGAGATTTTTCAGATCTCAGCCTCCTAAGCTGCTAAGATTACAGGCATAAACCACTGGTACCCAGCTTGATGATGTTTTTAGAAACAAATAACGATGTAGCTCAGTAGTAGAGCCTTTTGCCTAGTATTTGTATGGCCCTGAGTTTGATCCCAAGCATGATCAAATCAATCCAAATAATCAAAAGTTTCATAGCCATAAAACTTAGAACAGTAATAAGCATTTCTTATCTATGAACTTAGACAAAGTTCACCACGGCCAAGTGCATCAATTTTTTTGTCTCTATTTCCCTCCAAGTGTTTTTGTCAAAAGCCTGCTTTACAGAAAGGACTGAGAAACTCCTGGTATTAAGGTGTAACACACTGGTGAGGGGAAATGGATATCCTGTCTCCAGGGGCATTTGCATTCTGACAGAAGGGAAACCTGAAGAAACTAATTTCTAATAGTAGGAAGAAAGCACAGGCAGCCTCGATGAAGTAGATATTTTGGGAGACAAAGGAGACTTTTCACTGACTCAGAAATCAAACACCATGTAAGCAGCCACCTACACTCCACCTCCTCTGAAGGAGGTTCCTGAGATCATCTTCCAAAGCAATTCTACTCTGGAGCAGAACTTAGTACCCAGTACAAAACTGTTTTTCTCACTCATATTCAATCAGAGCAACGTTTCTGTCATTGAAATCCCCTTGAAAGGCTGGTCATCCTGCCTCTTCTTGACCTTTGTCCTTGACCATTCCCAGCCACACTCCTTTTCAGAGATCCCATTCTTTCATAAGTATTTATGGAAGGAAATTATAGGGCTCCATTAGTGTGTGTGTGTGTGTGTGTGTGTGTGTGTGTGTGTGTGTGTGTGTGTGTTGCTAGGGATCAAACTAGGCAAGTACACTACCCTTCCCTCCTATATCACTTCCCAATGGCCATCATACATGTACCTACTGCTTATAGGCAAGGTCATTTACTCTAGGTACACTGAGGATCCCTCCATGGTAGGCTGCACAAGTGCACCATAGTGCCTGCTCAGACTGATCCCTCCATCCAGAATGCCTGGATGTCCTGTTACAACCAGCTGGCATCCTTCAGGCGTGTCACCAACTTCACCCTGAAGTCTCCCATGACTACAGTTGTAGTCACAACCTTTTCTGCAAACTGCATTAGGTACCATGTCATGCCAAAGGCAAAAATCACTTGTCATTTTAGAAGGCACCTACAGTCGGTTGGATAGTGTCACCCCCTCAAAATCCATGTCCTTCCTAAAAACTCAGAATGTGATTTCACTTGGAGATGGGGTTGCCAGGGATATAGTTAGTTCAAACCATAGTGGAGTAGGGTGGACCTTCCATAAGCCATGACTGATGTCCTTATAAGAAAAGAGACAGACACAAGGAGAAAAGCATATCTTAGATGAAGGTACCGAGCTAGAGCAATAAAGGAATGTCAAATAGGCCAGTCACAGCAGAAGTTATAGAAAAGGCAGGCAAATATGTTTGCCCACCATGCTGCTGAAAACCTTGACTTCATACTTTTAGTATCCCAAACACTTCTGTTGTATTGTTTGGCTTTGTGGTCATTTGTTTGGCAGATCTAGGAAACTAAGATATCCACACAATGTTTAGAACACAGTGACTTCTCAGAAAAGTTTGTGCACATTTTTTAAACTGAACCAAGGAGTTTTAATTATTACAGTAGTCTTTCTCTTTCTCATTCTCATGATCTGCGATGATGGGAAACAAGAACTTCTTTACCCTGTGACTTATCTCTGAACACTGATTCTCTATTACGCAGTGATTGTGTAAGGTCTCTTTTATTTCATTAACAGCTAGAATTCTGGCTGTTTAAAAGCACTTCAAGCTATTAACTTGGGTTTTTTTTCCTCCCTTACTTTCCTGAAGTGCAGTTGATGCAATAAATAAAACAGAATTTTCCAAACTTTCTTTTTAAAAAAATTTTAGTGCTCTAAAAACTTGACAGAGAGAGAAAGGAGAGAAAGAGAGAGAGAGAGAGAGAGAGAGAGAGAGAGAGAGAGAGAGAGAGAGAATTATATTTCCCCACAGACTTTTTACATTAGAGAACCCATCTCACATTTCAAATATCTCCACAGGGCTCTTTGTCACAACCTGCAAGCCATAGAGAGGCAAACATTTGATGTTGGGTCCATATGAATGAAGTGACAGCAAGAAGAATCAGTGATATTCAGCTTCATCTTGGAAGGCCAACAACTAATACAAGAGGGAAGGCCTTAGGAAGCTCAGTAACCTCAGCTGTAGTGAGGCTGATTGTAATTCAGATTAAGATGAACACTTCGTGGTTATTGGAAAAAGCTAGCAAGTGTTACCTAGTTATCCAGCCTGAATAAATCACTCACTTAAATTTGGCTTTATCATGCCCTCTCACCTACCCTCATTCACCAATGGTCTGTTTGATTCTGGGTTTTTCCCTTAATTTCTTTCTGTTAGACACAAAAGTCACAAACTGATAACAATATATTACTGAAAAGAAATAGTCTATCAAGTTCTTAGATCTATATGGGGCACAATGACAGCCATAGCAAACTAGAAAGAAAAATATCTTTAAAAAAATGTTTTGTCTTTGTTTTTGTGCGTCCTGGTCCTCAAACTCAGGGCTTGGCCACTATCCCTGAGCTTTTTTCCTGAGGGTAGCTCTCCATCAGTTCAGCCACAGCTCCCCTTCTGCCTGTTTTGGTGGTTAATTGGAGATTAGAGTCTTATAAACATTTCTGCCCTGGCTGGCTTTGAATTGACATCCTCAGATCTCAGCCTCCTAACTAGCTAGGATTATAGGTATGAGCCCTTGCCCAGTCTAAGAACTGTTT